GCACCAGTGTTGGTGGTCCGTTTACTCGATACAGCCCCGTTAGCTTTCACGTACTGCTGTCTGTCAACAAGATAGTGTTGAACGCAGATGAAAAGTCAACGAAGAGGATCCTGATGTGTTACTTAGGTGTCTCTAGATGTTTATAGACATTATTAAGGAGTGACAGTGTGGCATCAACAACTCCTCTCCTTGACCTGTAAGCGAACTGAAGCGGGTCCAGTATGTCGGCAACTTCCTGACGGAGATGTCTCAACAAGATGCGTTCCAGCGACTTCATTGCTATAGATGTGAGAGCAACTGGCCTGTAGTCGTTGAGTTCTTTAGGTTGTGTCTTTTTAGGAACTGGTACAATTTCTGATGTTTTCCAGACCGAAGGAATAACGTGTGTATTCACTGAGAATTGAAACAATCCAGCGAAAACTGTACACAATTGAAGTCTGCACTCCTTCAACACAATGCCGTCAAGGTTGTCAGGTCCTTTTCCTTTTCTGATGTTAATTCTGGAGAAGCTTTGAATGATGTCAGCTTCTGATATATGGATACGACTTTCACTATCCTGTACGACTTCACTAACTTGAGCTCTCTCATCGGTAAAGTCGTGACAATCAAAGCGGCTGTAGAAAGTGTTGAGGTCCTCAGCAAAGGTTTTATTATCCCCGGCGTTGGTTGTCTGACGTTGCCTGCTCTTGCCAATCATCGTGTTCACGCCTTGCCAGGCTTGTTGCAGATTGCTTTGCTGAAACTGTCTCTCAACTTTCTCGTTGTACGCTAGTTTACACTCACGAGCTTTAAGATTTATGTCTTTTCTGTATGCATTTGAGTTTTATTCTATCTTTCTTCATGTATGCTCGTTTCATTTCGTTTAATAAAGATTTCATTTCTTTTGTGATCCAGGGCTTGTTGTTTGGGAATATTCTGATTTCTTTTTCTGGTATTATGTTGTTGACACAAAAATTTATATAATCCGTAATGACGTCACACATTCCTTCTAATGTTTGTTCTGCATCATAGAACATGTCCCAATATGTACACGCAAAACATCCTTGTAGGGTTTCAATAGATTCTATGTTCCATGATTTGACAATCTTAACAATAGCCTTCTCTGTTTTTAACTTTTGACGATATGTGGGCAGCAAATACACAGAATTATGGTCCGAAGCTCCTAGGGGTGGTTTACTATATGATTTGTAGGCGTTCTTGATGTTACCATAACACAAGTCAAGGATCTTGTCTTTCCGTGTACAACATGTTACATACTGATTGTAGGTGGGGAGCACAGACTTCAGGGTATATCCTTTAAAATCTCCAAGTATGAATTTCGGCGCATCAGGACAAATCAGCTCTAGGGATTAAACATGATTATGAACTACATCAGCTGCTTGTTTGTTATCGGCACTGGGTGGTATGTAGACACTCAAAGCAAAGATCTGACCGAATTCAAGGGGTAGATAAGTAGGCCGCATAGACACTGATAGAAGTTCGATGTTCGGTGAACATATCCTTTCTCTCACACGATAGTTACGACACTACTTTTCATTTATATACATACATACACCTCCTCCAATAGATTTCCCTGTAGCATCTGAATCTCTGTCTAATCGAACTGGAGTACCAAATCCTTCCAAATAGCGGGTGTTACTGTCCACGGAGGGTGATAGCCATGTCTCCGTGAAACATAGAATGCAACTGTCTCTGAATTCGTACAAATATTTTGTGCTTGCTTAAAGTTCGTCAAGTTTATTCTTAAGAGACCTCACGTTTGATAATAGAAAAGTTGGAAGAGGTGGTCTTGATTTGAGCGCCCGAACTCGTCGGCGGACTCCTCCCCGCTTACCTCGTTTCCTAGTAACTTTTGATCCTGAATTTAAATTATTCCCCCTGTCTGATGCACATCCCGGGGGCAAATCTCTAAGTCCTTTCAACTCCAACGCGGAGTAAGAAGTACTGAAACAAAAAACATATCTTGGTATCTGTCAAATAGTGTTTTCAATCTTGCAAATTGTATTTTCAGTACCATTCTCGCTCCCGTCCCATATCAACAAACACTTTATCCAAAAAGCTTTACTTTAAAGCAACCATGCATGCAAATCCTCATAAAGTCAAGAGTGTTGTGTCTGCTGTGTAATATTACTAAGAGGGTGGGGCAGCGTTAGGCATTCCGGTTTAATGTGAGTCCATTGATGTCGGGCCCTTTGTACAGGAGCATGTAGTTCTTGAATCATTGACGTTGTCATTCATTGTATATCGGTACGTGGTCCTCTCACCTGACAAAAGACACGTGGAAGCCGTAAAGTTAATATATTGTTACATACGTTTAGCTGACTGGATACTCCAAGAAGGATGATATTTTCTACAAGTTTAAAGAGTGATAAGGAACGCGATGAAACACGTGATGAAAGGTTAGAATTATAACATAATATAATAAAACATAACGTAAATTCAAATGTCCACAAAGCAGTTAACCTCTGCTGAATGTGATGGGTCGTAAATCGAAAACGGAGTGACAATTACACGAATGGATCACTGAAAGTTGACAGCAGGGTTTTCGTGGAATTCATAAACATGTCCTTTTCCACGTGTAGATGTGTTTCTGAACACGTGTTTATTTTGAAAACGCATGTGTGGGTACACGTGCAGGTAAGACCCGTAAATGATATACGTTTCAGCAATATCAGTCAATAGAGTGTCAACAAAGAAGGAGTTCCCTCAGTGCCAAGTCGTGATGTATTGAACCATGGTCTCAGAAAAGTTTGGTATGAATAATGGATATTTATTAAATAAATGGTTGTTGTCAGGTTCATATGAAACTGTTCAGCTGTTTACAGCGCGTAGCCTAAGGTAAATGTAGCAATTCAACAATAGGAACAACGATTCTTTCGCAGCATCCATCCTGCCTGTACACTCGCTTACAAAAAGATAACTTTCTTTATTACCCATGGAATAACCGACAGCAAGAACTTTCCGATATATCAACTATTCCCTATGTTAATTAGTTAGTTTACGCCATGTTATGTCACAATCCTTCATTGTTGAAAGAAAACGATATAACATCAGACAGTGCCGTTTTATATATTTTGTTCCTCATTTTCTCTCTGAAATATCTACGAGTAATATTAATGTACTCCATATATTTTTGCATGTGAATGAATGTTATGACACCGTTCGTTCATTTAGGACTGATAATCCATGTATGATATATCGATCGTGTACCGATTTAAGGATATCGAACTATAAGTCGATGCGTAGTCCTCGGTTTAAGTTCAACGTTGAGGCCATGGTGAGTGAGTATGGTTTTACGCCGCTTTTAGCAATATTCCAGCAATATAACCGCGGGGGACACCGCAATTGGCTTTCAGACATTATACCCATGCGGGGACTCGAACCAGAATCTTCGACGTGACGAGTGAACGCTTTAACCACCAGGCTACCCAACCGCCCCCGTTCAGGTTATAAAACAAGTGAAATAAAACTCAGTGGATGGGTGGCGCATCTTCCTATCCACGAGATAAGGGAGGTAACTGACTAAAAGACGAGTTTCCACCCTTACCGAACTATGGAGTTTTCTGTCTATAGAGTTCATAAACATCATGACAACAACCATGGTGATTTTGTGTGATCACAAATCATATAACGCATGTGCATACTCAGTTGGACGTCCATATATATTCCCCAAATCTTTCATGTTTGCAATCAAGGTGCTGAAATGATTTCGACCCGTGAAGATCCGGGTTTGAATTGGTCTTCAGTAACCCATGCTTGTCGTAAGCCAAATTAATCAAATTGGTTGGCTTGTCGTAAGAAGCGTCTAAAGGGATCAGGTGGTTAGGATTGCTGACTTGGTTGAAACATGTCATTGTATCCCAATTGCGTAGATCACTGGATTGTCTGGTCCAGACTCGATTATTTACAGACCACCGCCATATGGCTGGAGGAGAGTGCGGCCTTAAACGACAACCAACAAATTATATGATTTCGTGAGGTAGAACCTGTTTTGTTGCGATAAAGATCATGATTACCAATTCGATCGTTTTTACCGAGAGTCGCCATTGTACTTGAAGCAAATGCAAGTAATATGAAAGGTGGTATTGGGAGGTTTGGTGAACCGGAAGACCATAGAAGGGACATAACTCACAACAACCACTGGGGGCTTTACGATCGAGTCAAGAAATTTGAAGGTCGTTCGTCATGGGTGGAAACTTGACTTTTACAGTCAGTTATCTCCCTTTTCTCTGGGAAGATGGGCAGTGATAAGCAACATAGTATTTCTTGGTTGTCGGTACTGCTTTAAACATATTGAGTGAGTGAGTAAGTGAGTGAGTTACAATAAAAGGTCACATCGGCAATATTTCACCCTTGCTAATTACTACAAACTCCCCAACATCGTATTCAGATGGTGACCATTTCAGTTTTCTTTCATCACAAAACTATAAGCAAGAAATCTAAAACCTCTATCGATAGTGTTATATATTACATCTTAATGAAGTTTCGATGTAGATTATTGCACAGCCCGTTGGTCATTGAATAGTCAAGTGATAGAATAGTAGCTACATTTTCCGTTATTTACAGTTCTTAAAATGTAAATCGTTTGTACAGCTATGTTTGCACACACAATAACACTGCAATATGTATCAAGTATGCCCTCACAATACCTTCAGTATTCTGTATGCAAGCAAGACTTCCCCGAGTGTATAGTATGTCATTTCGCCGCTGATGCGGTACTAACCTTACCGTCTTACGATACATAAATATACTAATTTCTTTGAGTGGCATTTTAGGTGTCGGTAAGTACAATAAAGACAAACGCTATGGATAACAACTTCTATATTTCGTGAGTGCGACTTTTCGAAACAGAATCGTGTACCTCTTGCTTACCAACCGTACAAGAATCCGTATTGAAACGTCGCTCTCACGAATTTTAATAATAGATGCTATGTTATGGAAGGACCAATTTAACTGCGGCTGTGAATGACCCCTTTTTATCGTAATGTTTTCATTTTCAGGCTGTTCTCTTGCTGGCCCTGAATGCAATGAAAGGTAAGGATAACAGCTGACATCAAATAATGATATGTTACAGCTGACATCAAATAATGGAGGGTAGTGGTAAGCTTGATATGTTACAGCTGACATCAAATAATGGAGGGTAGTGGTAAGCTTGATAACATCAGGAGGTAGTGGTAAGCTTGATATGTTACAGCTGACATCAAGTAATGGAGGGTAATGGTAAGCTTGATATGTTACAGCTGACATCAAATAATGGAGGGTATTGGTAAGCTTGATATGTTACAGCTGACATCAAATAATGGAGGGTAGTGGTAAGCTTGATATGTTACAGCTGACATCAAATAATGGAGGGTAGTGTAAATATGCTTGATATGTTACAGCTGACATCAAGTAATGGAGGGTAAAGCTTGATATGTTACAGCTGACATCAAATAATGGAGGGTATGTTACAGCTGACATCAAATAATGGAGGGTAGTGGTAAGCTTGATATGTTACAGCTGACATCAAATAATGGAGGGTAGTGGTAAGCTTGATATGTTACAGCTGACATCAAATAATGGAGGGTAGTGGTAAGCTTGATATGTTACAGCTGACATCAAATAATGGAGGGCAAAGGTATGTTACTCATCAAATAATGTCTAAGGCGCATCAAGCAGTTCGATATGTTACTGTGCATCAAGTAATGGAGTTGGTAAGCATCCAGCTTCAAATAATGGCTTGCCAGGAACCAAAGGTATTATTGTGGGTTCGCTGAAGTTACATCCCTTTGGCTTGCCAGGACCCTATTATTGTGGGTTTGAATCTCCGATCAACCCGATTATGGGTTTAAGTTTGAAAGCGCCTTACCCGTGCACATGGGTTTCAGTAAACCTGTAACAATTCCATCAGCTGGGTCCTTGTACCATATAAAGGTGATACTGGACTAGTCAGTCTCACAGAGCCAGGCAACTGAATTATAGAATCTTACCCAACTCAAGTTTAAAATGACATGTAAGTCTATATTAAGTGAGATGTGGGCCTGAGAGTAATCAGCGTGATATATGATTACAAATGCTTACTTTATTGATTAGACTTCGAGTTACTGTGCATATAGAATTCTGTTACCAGCTATCTGCTTGTTGTCTCATTTTCAGTGCTTTCACAAGGCAATTCGACAAATACCACAGCCCAATCAAATATTACTTTAACCTCTGCACAAACTCCTACAACTGAGATGCTCACAACTGATTCTACCGATGGTGGTACGTCGGTTATGTCAACCGAATATACATCAGTATACACAGTGACGGAAGATTCTACATCAGTAGACATAGTGACGGAAGATTCTACATCGTTTCCTTCTACTGGGGAACTGATAACAGAAAACCTTTCAAGTGAAGACCCATCGACACCACCTACGACTGATTATACGACGATACCTTCTTCAACAGAAGATCCGACAACGGACTTTCCTACAACTGAAGGTCCGACAACGGCCCCTCCCACAACTGAAGGTCCGACAACAGCCGCTCCTACAACTGAAGGTCCCAGCCGCTCCTACAACTGAAGGTCCGACAACAGCCGCTCCTACAACTGAAGGTCCGACAACAGCCGCTCCTACAACTGAAGGTCCGACAACAGCCGCTCCTGACCGAACTGAAGGGTCCGACAACAGCCCTCTCAGACAACTGAAGGTCCGCCCGCTCCTACAACTGAAGGTCCGACAACAGCCCCTCCCACAACTGAAGGTCCGACAACAGCCGCTCCTACAACTGAAGGTCCGACAACAGCCGCTCCTACAACTGAAGGTCCGACAACAGCCGCTCCTACAACTGAAGGTCCGACAACAGCCGCTCCTACAACTGAAGGTCCGACAACAGCCCCTCCCACAACTGAAGGTCCGACAACAGCCGCTCCTACAACTGAAGGTCCGACAACAGCCCCTCCTACAACTGAAGGTCCGACAACAGCCCCTCCCACAACTGAAGGTCCGACAACAGCCCCTCCCACAACTGAAGGTCCGACAACAGCCCCTCCTACAACTGAAGGTCCGACAACAGCCCCTCCCACAACTGAAGGTCCTACAACAGCCGCTCCTACAACTGAAGGTCCGACAACAGCCCTTCCCACAACTGAAGGTCCTACAACTGCCCCTCCCACAACCGAAGGTCCTACAACGGCCCCTCCCACAACTGAAGGTCCGACAACAGCCCTCCCACAACTGAAGAAGGTCCTACAACGGCCCCTCCTACAACTGAAGGTCCCACAACAGCCGCTCCTACAACTGAAGGTCCAACAACGGCTCCTCCTACAACTGAAGGTCCAACAACGGCTCCTCCTACAACAGCCGCTCCTACAACTGAAGGTCCTACAACTGCCCCTCCTACAACTGAAGGTCCGACAACTGCCCCTCCCACAACTGAAGGTCCTACAACAGCCGCTCCTACAACTGAAGGTCCTACAACTGCCCCTCTTACAACTGAAGGTCCTACAACGGCCCCTCCCACAACTGAAGGTCCGACAACTGCCCCTCCCACAACTGAAGGTCCTACAACAGCCCCTCCCACAACTGAAGGTCCAACAACGGCCCCTCCCACAACTGAAGGTCCTACAACGGCCCCTCCTACAACTGAAGGTCCAACAACGGCTCCTCCTACAACCGAAGGTCCAACAACGACCCCTCCCACAACCGAAGGTCCTACAACTGAAGGGCTAACAACGGTTATTCATACAACTAGGGAGCCGACAACTCCTCCTACCGGTTTGTTCAATAAATAAGATGATACGTTTTTCTTACTAGATTGTGAGTCTACTATCTTGTGAAAACATAAGACATGTCCGATTAAGACATTTATTCAGTCCCTGTCAGCATGACCCACTGACTACGAAATAGCTGTTAATTATGAAATACACAATGCCATTTAGAAAGTGGTCAAATGTAACATATGTTACAACATATGTTACAGCTGTTAATTAACACACAAAATGTTTAAATGTAACATTAATCAATATTATACCATATTGTGTTTAATACATGTTATATTGGGTTGTCGTTTCAGTTGATCATTGTGCAACCTCTCCATGTGAAAATAACGGCACATGCATCTCTGGCGCCACTTCCTACACATGCACATGTGCGACAAGATTTGGTGGAGAAAACTGTCAAGAGGTTTGTTAATTAATTAGAAAGGTTATTTTGCAAATAAAGGTAAACAAGATAACGACAGGGGTCATTAATATCCATCTATGTACATTCCCCTTGCTTGTAATTGTCTACGCCTGATCCAGTTTTCATTTTACCGCAACACTTATACCGGCATTTTGATATCCACCAGCAGTATCACGTCTACGTGAGAAGTCAGTCAGTGCTACACCTCTAAAAAGTTTACAGGTGTGCAATAATGATAAATTGAGTGTAATATTAGACACGAGTCTCTAAGATACCTTATTGTCGTTGCGCTGAACTTATTTAACAGAATTAATGAGACAGAGATATAATAAAAACTGCTTTTCAGCTCACAAGTGAACTCGGGGCTCAGGCAATTGATGCTTCTGCACCCGATTCCTTCGAAAAGACAGAGAATGTGCTGCAAGAAGTGAAAACAGATATTGACAGCGCTACCAGTATCAATGCATTGGTACGTATTGTTAACTTAAAAATTGGTCTTCAGCAACCGAGGCAACCCCGTGGGAGGCGACTAACGGGACCGAATGGTCAGGTTCGCTGATTTGGTTGACACATGTCATGCGTAGATCGATGCTCATTATGTTGATCACTAGGTTGTCTGGTCCAGACTTGATATTTTACAGACCGCTGCCATATAGCTGAAATATTGCTGAGTGCGGCGTTAAACTACCCACAAACAACATATTTAGGTTATGTGACCACCCTGTGAATACTCTCGTTGTGCGATTGTACTGGTCAATGTGTTTCTGGAATGAATCGCTCTTTTAGTTAATCAACTGGACTGTCAACTTAGACATACCCTTTCCTTTAAAAGGTTTTTGTTTGTTAAGACAATACTTACGAACATTTGCTTGTGCATTAACGTAGATATTTCAACTGCATGCAGTGGCATTTTTGGTTGATATAGAGTAAGTGAGTGAGATTGAGTTTAGTTTTACGCCGCAATATTCCAGCAATATCACGACGGAGGAAACCAGAAATGGACTTCACACGTTGTACCTATGTAGGGAATCGAAACCGGGTCTTCGGCGAAAGCTTTAACCATTCGTCTATCCCACCGCCCCGCTTAATATAGCGGTATATTGTGTCTCCAAATGAAGAGCTGTGTCATTGCACGCCCAGTCTAGCTGAACCTGTAGATTTTCTGGCGATGAATTCGTCTGGGCTCAGAGTACAGTTGGTGATATTCTGATAATAACTGAGCGCTGTGGTCTTTATCTCCATTCAACCTGCAACATAGGCAGGTCTGTGTGATGATCGTACGGAAGTAACCGCTGCATGTTTTGTACAGGCTGTGGATAAGGTTGATGCAAACGACGATACAAACATTTCAATCAATTTAAAAAAATAAGTATCATGATTTACCAAAGCATGCAACAAGCGTGACAGGTGTAATGCCATTATGACGTCATCTTCCTCTTTGTGACGCAAAAGCTGTGGTATCGATCTAGTCATATTCTAGTGAAATATAAAATCTAAGCAAAGAATACCAAGTCTTTGGAATCAGTCTTGCAACGGCACTAGAAGTGATACACATACAGGCGCGAATTTATTGATGTCAACTTCTCTATTTTGATGAACATAACGTTTCGAAGTATATTTTTACTCCTTCATCGGGTAAATGAGAATTCAAGGAAACGGACAGCTATATAAGAAAATATGAAACAGCAGTGCTACGATAACAACAAAGGAAGCCAGTAGTTAATTGGTGCAGATCGGTAAGGGCAATGGACAAATAGAAGCCAGGGATTACTCCAGGCATCAACGATGAGAGAACAATGATGACACTCAACAAGGGAAACCTGTGGTTAATGGCTCTGACAGGAAGTGACAATACACAGATAGAACCCAGGAATGAATCCAGGTATGACTAGTCCTGTAGGTGGTAAACACGATGACATGGAAGTCAGCACTGATAATTAAATTAACCAGTCCCAAAGGCTAGGTAGGTATATTCTGTGGTCACAGCTCATTGCCGGTATGGATCTCCTAACTCTGTGTATAATCAGTACACTCAAAACACTGGCTATCACCGTCTAAAAACCGAAAACGTTGGAAGAATGATGGTGGATGATATATAGAATCACTTCCGCGTGTCGTTTGATATCAGATTTATTAACTCTCCTCGCCGAGTTAAATAACTATAAACCCTAATCGATTCGAATTGATATAATGTATAACAAAAGAAACTGTGGTAAAATACGCCATTTATCATAGATAATGTCATGTTTACAATACATGTACCCAGCAATATTCCAGCTTTCTGACGCCTACATGGAATTATTCGAGTCTGGACCAGTCAGTGCAGTAAGGAAGAGGGTTTTTATGGATAAAAATATAATAATAAGTTGACATCCATGCAATCGTGCCTCTATCCTTATAGGCAGAGAGAGAGAGAGAGAGAGAGAGAGAGAGAGAGAGAGAGAGAGAGAGAGAGAGAGAGAGAGAGAGAGAGAGAGAGAGAGAGAGAGAGAGAGAGAGAGAGAGAGAGAGAGAGAGACTCACACTGTGGACTCACACTACGGAAAGCGTCGCCTCATTATACAAATACAATTACAAAGTAGTCATCCATAAAATATGCTATTTGATTGTTCCAGAACCGAACTTCAAATGTCATCGGTGTCCTTGTTGAGAAGGCAGCAAGATCGGACTGGACAGGGACGCAGCTCGAAAAAGCTGGTGAAGGTTAGTGGCAGAGCTCATACCAAGGTTCGTAGACCCGTGAAGATTCCTGTCAGAGTCGGTCGTCTTCAATTCCTGCCTGTCGTAAAAGGTGACTGACTGGATCGGGTGTCAATCGCACTGGCTTGGTTGATACATATCATCTTTTCCCAATTTTCCGAGGCTCCTGATGTTAGTCACTGGATTGTCTGATTCAGATTCGGTTATTTACCACTGGAAGTATTACTACTGGAGCTGGATAATTGCTGGATAACAAACCAAACTGATTGAAATCTGACCTGCCGCAGTTTCAACTTGAGTAACCCACTTACATTTAGCATACCGCCTGTGAGCCGATGTGTCCTTGGTCTATCCCTGAATGCCGAAAGCCATTCAGATTAATGCGTGCTGTGAACGTCGTGATAATTCCTGCAGTATCACGGCGGGGGACACCAAAAATTGGATTCATGTATTGTATCCATGTGGGAATCGAACCCGGGTCTTCGACGTAACGAGCTAACGCTTTAACCACTAGGCTACTCCACCTTCCCTCGTTAAATATGGATCAGGATAGAACTTCCGACTTCAATCTTACTGAGATCTAGCACCACGGAGACAGTCCATTATTAATCAAATATACTTTCATACAGGTTGTTCCAGGTCTCGTGAAGATACTGGTTTCCATTGGTCTTCAGCAACCCTTACCTAAACAGGATCGGGTGGTCAGGCTCGCTGACTTGTGTAGCATTGAAAGGGGCCCAATACATGCTACCACTGTGTTCAGTATTTGGGAGCTGTGTCAGCCTATCGCCCTGGGACCCGTGAAGGTTCGGGTTAGAATATTGGCCTTCAGTAACCCATGCTTGTCGTAAGAGGCGACTAACGGGATCGGGTGATCAGGCTCGCTGACTTGGTTGACACACGTCATCGTATCCCAGTTGCGTAGATAGATGTTCATGATGTTGATCACTGGATTGTCTGCTCCAGACGCGAGTATTTACAGACCACCGCCATATTGCTGGAATATTGCTGAGTGCTGTGTTATACAGCAAGCAATCAATATTTCATACAAAACTATTTGCCAATACCATGCTAGATCAGCATTTTACAGAGTGATAATTTTTATTTGATATGGGTAGATATATTACGGGAGCATTTATGTAATACCTTGCAGATGTTCTAAAGAGTTCGGACGCCCTTCTGTCATCTCTCCGGGTGCAGGCCAATCCAGTATCAGGGAACGTCCAAGGTGCCCCCCAAGACTCAGAGGTATTTCACCTTTCGGATTTCAACTGTTATCATCCGAATTAGTTATTAACAACGAACACGGGGTAGTTACAAATTCTCAATTACAACGTTTCGATGAAGATGCTGACACCGTTATCAAGCAAGTAATGTACAAGAGGAACACTTTTTATGGATAAACAACCTCTTTATTGCTATATAGATGCGAGGTCTCGGTGTATATCCTAACACCGTTACCAAGCAACTGATATGATAACGGTGTTAGGATCTACACCGAGACGTCCCATCTATTGCAATAAAAGAGTTCTCTATCCATAAAAGTGTTCCTCTTCATCATACTAGCTTCTAAATGCCACTTAAGAAGTTACGTGATGTACAGAAAAGTAGGTAAAACATTTATATACCTGAGTAAAGTTTGTACAGTTAAAGTACAGGCTAATATTGTTGACTGATATTTACACAGTGAATGCATTTCTTTGAGTGGCATGGTGATGCGGGACAATGCTTCTGAATGGACTTCTTTATTGCAATAGCTGCGACGTTTCGGTAGAGATGCTAACACTTGCTTGATAACGGAGTTAACACTACACTGAAACGTTGCATCTATAGATTGTGATAAAGAAGTTGTCTATCCATAACGTGTTCCTCTTCATGAAGATTTGTTGAATAATTATAATTAATACATAGATTAATAATAATAATTAATGTTTGCCATCCTTGGCACAAACAGCATATCTTAAACGATATGATGGCATGGCTCGCTGCTTCTATTACCGTCTTCGCCATGCCTGTGGCTTTGACTCCGAGGTCCATCCATGGTACGACTCTGTACATGTCCAGGGCGTCATGGAAAATGATGCTTTTAAACTTTTGTGGAATAGGCCAATATACATCCTCAGAAGAATTCCAGCCAACAAACCTGATCTTGTCCTTTTTGATAAATCCAATGAATTTATTTATGTCATTGAATATTCTGTCCCTTTTGACAGCAATATGATTGGCAAGATTCCGGAAAAGCATGCTAAATATGCAGACCTCACCATTAAAATGTCTACCTTGCATCCCAAATACACTGTCGTCAGACTCCACATTGTTCTCGGTGCCCTTGGTTTGGTACTTCCTGAACTCTTGGCGCAGAACAGGAGAGTGCCCGGGTTCTCCACCGGGAGCACATCTCTTCTGACGCTCTGGGTAATGCAGAAGGCTGCAGTGTTCGGGAACCTTCATTTTCACCGGAAAGTTCTGGTAGGGTTCGACTTGGCAGCGCTTCCTGGGAGAAGTCCCATTCACTGTCTCGGCTGCGTGTAGAGGGGGCAACGGCCCTAAGCTGATGATGAGCCTAACCAGCCTCACTGTGCCAGGATCACCTGGACCCTCTCTGCTGCATACTATTTTTAATCTGTAAAACATAACAATTAATTAGATGAATAGGTAAAACATAGGTATGCTGTAAAAGGTCAGTGTGCAAGGATACCATTTGGTTGTATCTCAAAACAGTTTCACCATATTTTGTGATCATACAGATACGTGCTTTACAGCTCAGACGATAATAAAAAAATGTTTTTGCTGTAAATTTTGTTTGTTTTATGAACTGAATATTCAATGGTAGGAAATATCTTTTAAACTGACGGCATCGTCCAGTCAACCATATTATTGATCATTCTACGTACGATCGCCCTAAATTATCACTCATTATACCAATCACTTTGCATGTAAATTTATTCTTGTCATGTTAAAAAAATAAATTTTCTCGTTAATTTGGGAATTGCTAAACAAGACAAGTACCCGGTAAACATATTAAATATATATAGGTTGGGCCTACCTCTAGTAACACTGCGATATGCACGCACTACAGTATTAATGCAGAAACACAAAGTCAATATGGAAATGCTTCGAAATATCTCCTGCGAGAGATGATGACGTTCAAATGCCTGATCACAATTACAAATGAACTTGAATTTTGCATTTTCTACTCAAAGCCAAATCAGGTAATGGGTTTGCTACAAATGTCTGCTCGAGTAATGAGGACCTCGCATTGCTGATTGCGTACAGCTTCGTTCAACTCAATCGGTAGAGTGATAGATCCAAGGCAGATAAAGACGAGAGTGTTTTTGCTTAAATATTGAATGTTGAATCGCCAACCTTGGCCCATCCAATGATCCATCCATCCAACCTTCCATTCATCCACCCATCCATCACCCCAACCTTGGCCCACCGGTATCAACTAAGCATCCATGCAACTATCATCTATCCAAACCATCATTCCACCCACGCGTCCATACACCCAGCCTTTCTTCCCTCCATTCAACAATCCCCATCCATCCACACAAGTGTCCATACACCCAGCCTTCCTTCCCTCCATTCAACAATCCCCATCAATCCATCCATCCACACAACTGTCCATACACCATGCCTTCCTTCCCTCCATTCAACAATCCACATCAATCATCAATCCACACTAGTGTCCATACACCCAGCCTTCCTTCCCTCCATTCAACAATCCCCATCAATTCATCCTTCCACCCACACGTCCATACACCCAGCCTTCCTTCCCTCCATTCAACAATCCCCATCAATCATCCATCCACACAAGTGTCCATACGCCCAGCCTTCCTTCCCTCCATTCAACAATCCCCATCAATCCATGCCGATGACCCACACCCCTGTTTACAATATATTTAGCACCCAGCTAACCAGTTATCAATCCGGGTAGCCAACCATCTATCCCAATTTCCCCCATCGTATTCCATCCATCAAAACTCGCTCATCTCGTCAGCCTTAACCTGATTGCATTTTGACGTCGCAACGAAAATCACTCGTTGCTGAACCAGACTCTGTTCTTCTGGCTACATTTTGTCGATCGTAACAATGTTTCCTGACTTCGATATGTGAACAGCCTGGTTTATTGTTCGATTTCGGACATCTATCATCCCCTTTTCATAGCTAATTTTTCAGGAGTATATATTGTGACGTGACATGTGACACTGTCACTCAGTATGAGCTGGACTTCAACAGGCGCTTGCGAACGCAATGTTGGAGTGCTTATGAGTGGAATGTGAATATATTTAAACATGCTTTGTTTATTATTCGTCTATATCTGAATACCGATAATCAAAGAGTAGTGTGTGTATACACTGAATATGTGTGTGTGTTACCATAATCTCGCTAGTACATATTGTATCCAGAACAAACTTGGTATCGTGTTGTTGTCTGAATCATATCAATGTTTGCTGAGAAATAGGCCAGAAATGTAAACAGTACTGTATAATTGAATTATTTCTCACACAAGTGGAAAGCATGAATCCAATGTCCTGTTACGTAATCTCAACTAAATGTGCCACATTCGGGACACAGGCGGTTTTTACGAGGGTTGATATTTATGTATTGTACACTGACAGCTTCGCCCCCAGAAAGAAGCAGTACTGGAGAACGTAGCTCAGAACGTCGTTGACCTTGGCAGCGTTGTACTGAAGGACAAGGATGAAGGGACTTTTGACGTCCACACTGACACCGTCAACGTGTCCTATACAAAGGCATCAACGGAAGACTTGACAAAGGAATATGAGGATGATGAGATTAAGCTTCCTGATAGTCTGGTGGACATTGTTGGAAATAGTGAACTTGTCCTAACGGTAAGTTTAGGCATCTATAGTGGTACCCTTCTCCATTCATCCCTGATGTCAGTATCAGTTCACGAAGAACATTGAACGAATAACCTTCGAGTGACCAAACACACTTGTCAGCAATCATAGTCTTTATGTCAAGTTTCCATGCTTGATATGCACGGCGTATACCGAGACAGCATGGTAGATGCATGAAGATCGTGTGTATCAACTCAAATATCGAATTTGTGAAAGATTCGTTGTCGAACAGGGTCCCGATCCACAAAACGTTCGTAGCGCTACGACATTCGTAAGCCTATGATAAACTATACAGTTACGACAGGTCGTAACCTTACGAACGCTTTGTGGATCGGGACCCAGAACTTGATATATTTTCTTAGAGATGGTTCCTCTCTATTGTCATTACTACCACCCTTGCCGAACATGGTTCAATCTCCAGTGATGAATTGAGGCGAAAAAGACACCTTTAAAGGAACCCTCGCAGTAATGCGTATCTTGAACATCTTTGCTGAAATTAAATGAAATTTACCCAGGGCGATAGTGAGTGAGTGAGTGTGTTTCGTTTTACGCCGCACTCAGCAATATTCCAGCTGTATGGCGGCGGTCTGTAAATAATCGAATATGGACCAGACAATCCAGTGATCAACAGCATGAGCATCGATCTGCGCAATTGGAAACCGATCCAAGTCAGCGAGCCTGATCACCCGATCCCGTTAGTCGCCTCTTACGACAAGCATGGGATACTGAAGGCCAATGTTCTAACCCGGACCTTCACGGGTCCAAGGGCGATAGGCTGACACAGCTCCTAAATACTGAGCACAGTGGTAGCATGTATTGGGCCCCTTTCAAAGCTACACATGGCGAGTAAGAGGTGAAGAATTGCTGAGATGTCTTACGTTGTTCTTTGACGTCAACGTCCATGACCCGGATGCTTGTATGTCACTATTGTTGCTCACTCTATCGACCACTGGTTTGCATGGTCTTGGTTTTATGGATTCACCAGAGCTATTTATGACAGAAGTCTTCTTCTGTTTTTGTAGGATAGGCACTCTGACACTGTGATATCCTGGCCCTCAGTGCATGGCGAAAATGCTTTTGATTGGCTGATTCCTTGGGTATATCTATGCCGGAAGCACGTGTACATATACTATTAACAACATTTGACCCCAAACGTTTGATGATTCAAACATAGGAATTCCATTGTCTAAGATTTGGAATGAATGTTTGTTGCAGTAAAATGAACAGACATAATCTCTTCCCAAATTCGTATATCTGCTTCTCCTAACAATTCGTGTGTTTTTTACAGGAAATGAAACTCGACAAAAACCTTTACGATCATTCGACAGAACACATAAGTGTGACGGGTCCTGTCGTTCGCGTTGCCTTAGCGAAAAAAGATGGTAGCCTCGTTCAGCGTGTAGACCCCGATGGACCAATCACAATGTACATTGATGCCGAATCCAGTAAATCTTTCGATCAGATGGAGCTTCACCAAGATGGATCTACCCTTACTGCAGTACAACGTGTGTCTCTTGATGGACAGGTACCAGTGATAATGGTTGAGTTTGAAGTTCCTCCAGAGTTGCAGGTCCTGCTCAAAGGACGGTTTGAGGAGCTGCCTAGAACTTATGAGAGACACTTCGAAGTAATTGCTGGCGAAAAAGTGGAGGAGGTTTTAAAGCACGACCACGTCAGCTTCCAACTTTACAATGGAGAACTGTTTATGTTCATAAAGGAACCAGCCGCACTTCCGAGAGCCCTGTACCTTGTGTTGCAGTATAGCAGTAAGTAGTAAAATGTTCTCCCGACAAACGTAAACTGCATGGTGTCTGAATGACGAATGTAGACTGACAGCAGACTGACTGAGGATTGACAACCCGACAGACCGGCGACTGACTGTTGACTAACTGTAGTGGACTGTGTACTGTGTGAAGATTGACCCCAGACTGACCATAGGCTGCCTTTAGTGGACTGTATACTGTGTGAAGACTGACCCCTGACTGAACGGGGACTGACTGTAGTAGACTGTATACCGTGTGAAAATTGACCCCAGAATGACCAGGGACTGACCTTAGACTGGCTGTAGTGGACTTTATTATCCACGTGGTCAACGCATGGGTAGTTGCATACTAATCTCGTATGTCACACGAGTAGTCGAGACAATCTAACCGAATAATAGGGTCAACCATCAACTCTTTGCAAAAGAATGATTCATGTTTATTTTCGAAGTAGGGGTATATAAGACTGAAAATACAAAAGTCTAGAAAAATCTAAGGGGTGGAGCATGTTAAAATTCGACCTTAATGTTATCCCCACAAAAAATTGTTTATGTGCAAAAGAATGATTCATGTTTATTTTCGAAGTAGGGGTATATAAGACTGAAAATACAAAGGTCTAGAAAAATCTAAGGGGTGGAGCATGTTAAAAATCGACCTTAATGTTATCCCCACAAAAAAATGTTTATGCTTTTCTTTGATAAACACGTCAGTTTATTTTATATGTTTTATATGTTTTTCTTCAAACAGATAATGCATAATTAGTCCATTTGTCTCTAAGACTGATTACATAAAGTCACATGGGGTGATTGTACGTTTAATGATTCTTTTTCTAATATACTGATGGGGAAAAGGAACATCGGATTTAAATGTGTAGTAGAAAACGTACGTTCACACTATTGTACTTTTTCTTAGAGAAACACAAGTGTTCATTGCTTTCTTAAAGCATTCTTACAAAAACATATTAAACAACACTTTGTATCAAAGTAAAGGTAATGATTGTGGATATATTATTATTATCTGAGTGTCACTTAGAAAGATATTGTGATAAAATTCCTATTTCATCGCCTTTCTGGTTTAATGTTACACCACTTTCTATGTTCTATTCACTAGTGCAATAAGGCAATGTTCATAAATCTGATATCTATTTATGACATTCTATATATGTAGTCAGAAATTCCCAATTTGATTAAAATTATACCTTCTGCTTACGCACATCATTGCAAGTCATCATCCAAATCATCTGAGAAGACTCCGGATGAATTGCTGCAACTCAGTCGCACTCTCCACATGCAACTGAGCACTTCAGTCCATATTTCCTGCAAGAACAGCGCTTGGATTCGGGCTCTTGTTTACAGTTACATCTGATTACATGCAGAAGTTGTTCTGGAACTAGTGGTTTACTTTTTCTCACAGGCATCAGTCTACCTTTCACTGTAGTTCAGACCCATTGGTGTGGAAGCATGTCAGGATTCGTGGCTGTCCACCGACACACTTGGTAGTAGACTCGTAGATTGTGGTACGACGCAGCATTTGATGTAGGTGGGAGAGAAGGCACATTGACAGCAAGAAAAGATGTAGCATCCTTCTCACACCAAGGCTCTCATTTCCAGTGCCACCATAGATATGGACAATAAGTCTTTCACCTGCATTGATAATGTCTTCTCGGGTGGACTTGCTACAAAAGACATGTGCATACTTGACAGTCAATGGCATGGAGGAGATTTTCTGCAGTCCGACACCTTTGCCTTTTCCGAGGATTCTAGATGTTGCATAACATCCTGTCAAAGCATGAATGACTGGCCGTATTTGACAGATGTTGCTGCCGATACTTTCCTTAAGGCTGTTCCACATCTTTGATGCTTTTGTGGCGGCACACTTGTTGTTTCTACAATCAGAAGGTCTGCACCTTCACTGTCCTCACATTTTGCACTCGGAAGATAAATAAATGCCTGTTTGTTCTCATTGTTTGAGAGAAACTGTTCTTTCTTTGACGTCAGAACCATTTCTTCAGTGAAACTTACTTTTGGACCACAGATGTCCGTCTTAGGTGTGCAGTATCTTTTGTCGAAGGTCCTGACAAGTACCCATCAAAAACAATGGTAGCATATGTGTACTTACTACTGACGTATTCTGTGTAGATTTGGGAAACAGGAGAATGTTGAGCCAGTGGTCCATAGGATGCGTTGGAGAAGACTACCTCCATCTAAGACATAGTGATATGAGTCCGTATCAATGTTCTGCTTTGGAATATCTTTGCAGTGTATCTTCCATATTGCTTCAACCAAAGAAATTTTTGAGCTTCTCGCATTAATCCAGAAGAGTCAAAGAGCGAAGAAGGAAAGCTCGACAAATCGTAGCTAAAGAGGTCTGAAATATTGTCAAACATGGTATCTGCTGCAGTTATCAGGCGCTGGAAAAGTAGTTGGTGGTCAAAGTGTACATCTGCATCTGATTTCACTGTTACCTTTGTATTCATTGGGACTGCCTGGTTGGCTTTCTTGAAATTGTAATTCACAACCTTCTCACCACACATGGACTGCAAAATCCTCTTTCCGATTTCCTTTGAATGTTCGATATTGACAGAATTGTCAGCTGTAACCCCCTGTTGCAACGTTGCATAAGGATTGATCGTTATTGAAGGGTGATCTTTCTTTAAGAAAGGAGAGGATGGTACAGGAATCCTCATCATCTCTGACTTTCCTAGAATTGGTCGTTTCTTTGTGTTGGTCACTTGTGTGGTACCCAACACGAGTGAGAGATTGCATTGCATTATTTACATCAACACATGCTGTCTAGAGAGTAACGACTGAGATCTCTGGTTGATTCACCCATGCCGTGCCCTCTTGTCATATCACCAGTGGACTTCAAACTTCACATCAGCACCTGTTCAATGACTAAGTCTGAAGATAACCCAGCCCAATACCTGTCACTCCTTCGGATAACATGGTGTCCAGACATGAAAGCCAGATAGACATCTGGATGATCCTGTTTGAGTCGCTGCATTGATTGCAAATAGATATAGGCAGACTTGGTATACATATTATGCCCACATGCAGCAAAAAATGGCAACATTTCCATAACTGCTTGGAGATGGAGATTCCAATCTCCTATGCGTTCTCCTTTCAAGAACTTCTTCAATATGTCCACCATGTCCATATAAAGGAGCCAAAGTGATGCTGTCCGTGAATGCGAAAGTGACTGCTTTGTCTTGCTAAGGATTTCCTGTATGTGATTCAAAGATTGGCTATCCTTGATATCGTTTGGATATATTTCTTCAGCCATGATCCTTTCAAATAATTCCAAAGCATCACGAAGATCTTCAGACAATGTGGTAGTTGATGATCTATCAGTTAGAGTATCAGCTTCTGTTGGCATAACATCTGTATCAGAGCCTGCAGCTTTGTTGACAAGAAGATAACAGAGAGCTCTGTCGACAAGAAGGTGTCCTCTGACAGCACGTGCAACTGCTTTCTCGCTAAGCATATGAGCAACAGCATTTGAAGCATAAACCGTTTCGAGCGTCTCTTGCAACCCTGTTCCACCCATGACAAAGCCAATACATCCGAGAAAACTCATTTCTGTATGGAATCCTCACAGTCGAAGAATTATCTTTTTCAGATAGCTTTGATCAGGCTCATTGCTGACAATTGTAAGCACCTTCCAGTACAGAGGCTGGTCAAATGTGATCACAGGCTTGGAACCATAGCCAAAAGTTTGCTCTGAGATGAATGTCAGTGCAGAGTATATGCAACTTAGATCACTGGGATTCATGTCAATCATTAGGAGAAAGGTAAAAGAAGACGTTCCTTGATGAGAACCATGTTGTATCATCTGCATCATCTGGTTTCAAAAAGTCGCACTTCACTGTAGGAGGAACAGAACCTTAGGGCATGTAGAGTTTCAATGAGAAACTTTGATGTGAAGTGATGGTGGAGCTGTACACCAAGTCCAGTCTGGAGTGGAGCTAACAGGCGCCTGGTCTTGCTGCCTGAATTATAGCCTAGCCAATGGAAGCAATCTTCACCTCAGTATCCTTCTCAGACATCATGGACATTAGGAGAGTCTTTAACGAGTTTGGAATGTAGTCGATATTGTGTTGAATGGATGACATCTCCTCTGATGATGGATAAGATATTTTTGAGGTGTTGATGTCCTAGATGTCAGTCAGTATAAGCTTCGCTGCTGTCTTTATTAACTTAAGCTTTTCTGTAGTACTTTCCTTTTCGCGTGGTTGTCTATAGTAGTCCTGAAGAACTGTTTCTGTTGTTATTCTGAAAGTGACCACGTTTGACTTGCCATTCATTTCCGTTATGATGATAGAATCCCCAAAGTGTTCTTGTAGTTTGCGTTTCATATAATCATGGCTATAAGCACCATCTACAATCAACTGTGCCATGTGGTGAACAAGGTTGCCGACTGTGATCTGTTCACTGTCATTTTCTTTCACATACTCTAATACTTTCATGAAGGCCTCAGCGCGAATTTACAGGTGTTCCTGGAGTGAAAGTGAATTTCTGCTTCCTTTCGGCACGACAAAGCGTTGGTATTTGACAGCCAGTTCGAAAGGTTACATTGCATGGTTGATGGTACAATGCATCTGCGGCAGGTAAATCATTAACTGACACAAGCTTTCCTTGAACATCCTGGACCCATTCATCACCACGTTCCGGGCATATTTTCTGGATGGTGCTTTGAAAGTTTAAAGTTCTGACAGGGTGGACTTCATAGGACCACTTCTTTCCTGATAGACGTGCATACTGTCCACAGAACAAACAATGTTCAGAAAACACAAAACTTGATATTTTGGAACGCGTTGGTCTCTCACTTGAATCATTTACAGGCGGCTGTTGGGAAAGACTCTGTTTTATCACATTTGGGTTGGTATAGGTCTTTCGGCATTCTTGATGAACCACTTGGCCAGCTTGAACGTGCAAAGAGTCACTACGAGCTGCGCTTGCTGAATTAATCCATCACAGCCTTTGTTCCTCAAAACTAAAGTGGGCTTT